TTGGCTGCCGGCGGCTCGCGGCGGTTGGCCCCGCCCACCCTGCCTACGGGGCGCTGACCCACTGCCCTGGGCGCCTGCCGCTCGCTCTCCGCCTCCTCGTGATTTGCACTGCTCGGCACTGGGGGCGACGGAAGGCGCATCCATGTGACCGGCGCGGGGTGGGGGGACCGGGTGACGAACGTGGCCGAGGAAAGCGCCCGCCCACGCTGCGGCCCGCCCATCCGCACCTGGGTCTAAGTTAGAGCCTCTGGCCGCCCAGTGACCCGCAAGGTCGCGGGCGGAATCCCGTTCCCCTGGAGGCGCGGCCTGGGGCCAGATCCCGCTGGGACTGGGACTGGGCGGCGACTGAGGCCTGAGCACGGGGATTTCCTGCTCAGAAGTGGGGAACCGAGTAGCTTAGTGCTTGGCTGCCCTTCCTAGAGGCCTCGAGTGGCGGGTACTTCTCCGCGAAAGGTCTTTCTGCCCTGCTCCCCAGCCCCCTCCCCGGCTAGCAAAACAGACCTCTTCCTTGGCAGACGGAAATACAGACTTAAGGAACAAGTTTTTTCCTAAGTATTCTCAACTGTTAAACGAAAATAATCCCATCTTCACAGATGCTCTTCGGTACCAATATAAAGTATGAAGAATGAGCATGATTTAAAAACAAAAAACAAAACTGTGGAACTGAGTCTATAGCTCCTTGTTTGTGAGGGCCTAAATTCAATCTTGGCACCTCAAAAAGGGAGGATTGGATTGGATGTCAACATTGCCGATCTAATAATCAATGTCCCTTTTAAGGAGTTGAAGATAATCAATCCTAGAGATAGTCCAATGGAAAGATTTTTGCCTTTTGCTTTTGGAACCTGGCCAGAAATTCCTTGCCAGATCATTCGTCCTGAGTTCTGGTTAGGAAAATGTGGTTACCAGTGAGTTGGGAGACTGATTTGGGCTATTGCCAGATGGAGCAGGAAAAGGCCCTGGAGGCTGGTTTGAGAAGTGGGTAGAGTCCCCCAGAAAGATGGGAATGAGGAGAAAAGTCTGCTCACTATCCATCCTGGAAAGTCTCACCTGGCCAGAACTGACACCTATTTACAAGAAAATGAAAATGCCGCCGTGAGTTGTCTATCCCCAAAAACGGTCATCCTGCCCTTGCCGTGGTCAGTGGTCAGTGGCCCTTACCCACAAGGCAGACCTGGAACATTGCTCCTGACCAGAGCCTTCCATTAGAACTTAGTTTTAAAAGGAAAGGAAAGATCTTAATGAGTCAGCCTTATCAAGCCACAGCACAGAACTCAGGTTGTTTACCACCACCGGCAGGTGGCCCAGGAGGGGGTTTTTTTAGGGCAAGGCTGACTGGCCTTGCTGCGTGGGAGTTAAAAGGCCTTGAGGAACAAGAGAGACTGCAGATTACAATCAAGGCCTCTGGCAGATGGTGTGGAAGCTCTATGGCTGCCTGCATTATTCTGCCAGCCTCCACCAGGCAGTATTTTCTGGAAGGACGGAGGAAAGAAAGAACTAATTCCACTGCAGAACTTTCTGCTGCATTTCCTGGTTACTGGTTACGATCTCAAAACACCTCAGTGTGCACACTCTATCAGAGCACATACAACATACTATAAATGCCTGTTTTCATGGATTCTCCTCTGCTTGATGGGTCTACTTGGGGCAAACAAGTAGATAGCTGAACGAATGAATCTCCCCTCCAACTGGCTCTCAGCCTGGCCCTAAAACATCAGTTAAATAACATAACAACATAAGGATAACCATAATAGCTACACTAACAGCCCTTTTTAAAGCATCTCCTCTACTCCAAGCTCTGGGCAAGGTGCTTTTAAATAAATTACCAAATTTATGCTTCTAAATAACCCTATGAAGAAGGTATTATTAACTCATTTCAAAAGAGAATCGAGGCTCAGAAAAAGGAAATAACAGAAGCAGAACTTGGCCCAGGTTTGTCTGCCTCTGGGACCCAAATGATCACATTAGTCTCTGACTTCCCTCAATAATTGGGTGTCTCTCAGAGTAAGCTGGAAAGGCTTCAAGTCTTCCGAGACCTTGGGCACCCGCCTCTAGGAGACCACAGGGTCGCCATCACGTTGCTCTTACCCACAGGCCAGCAAGGAAGTGTGCTGTCCTCTCAAATCTCGATGTTTTCCCAGAGAAGGCTGTAATGCAATTTTACTTCCTCCTCACCATAAACAGATCAGGAACCAGGCTGCAGGTGCCTTATTAAACACAAACCACCCTTGGCAGTGAGCTCCACACGTAAGTACCCAGAATTTACCCAGGGCCTTTGCTGGAGCAGTCCAAGTGCCATTAGCTTATTAATCCTCCCAGCACCCCTGTGAAGCTAAGCTGGCGGTATTCCTAGCTCATTTTATGGAGCATGATCTCCTTGGAGGCAGAAGCTGTGTGGGCCTGTCATACACAGCAGTATCGAAGAAGAATCAGAAGCATGGCAGAGAAACTGAGATGCTGAGGTCAGGAGACAGCCCAGGTGTTTGGTTCCCATTCTGTGAGTCTCTACCCTTTCACTCGGCATCCTTGCATGGTCATAAAGTCGCTATGCAACCCCTTGGGTCCTGGTTAGATTTTGTTTTGTTTTGTCGTCAACTTGGGACAAGCCAGCGTCACTTGGGAAGAGACAACTTCAGTTGAGAAGAAGCCACCATTAGAATGGCCCATAGGCAAGTCTGTAGGGCATTTTCTTCATTAATGATTGATGTGGGAGGGCCCAGCCCGCTATGGGTGGTGCCAACCCCTGGACAGAATGGTCCTAGGGTATATAAGATAGCAAACTGAGCAAGCCAGTAAGCAGCAGCCCTCCATAGCCCCTGCTTCAGTTCCTGCCTCCAGGTTCTTGCCTTGAGTTCCTGCCCTGACGTTCCTTCCAGATGGGCTGGAAGTTTATAAGGTTCCTCCCAGGTTCCTTTTCGTCATGGTGTTTATCACAGCAGTAGCAGGCAAACTAAGACCTTCAGAACCTTATTTCAGGTTTCAGAGTCTCAGTTTCCCCTTCTATAAAATGAAAAGGTGGGGCTAAGGAGCCTTAGTAAAGTACCTGTGGTCAAGCCCCAGAACTCATATGAAAAAAAAAACCAGGTGCGGTGATAAGCACGTGAGGAAGTGGAGACAGACAGATCCCTGGGGCTCACTGCCTAGCCTGCCTAGTCTATTAGAGAGTTCCGGCCAGTGAGAGACCCTGCCTCAAAACAGACAAGGCGGCCAGGCATAGTGGTGCATACCTTTAATCCCAGCATTTGGGAGGCAGATCTCTGAGTTTTAGGCCAGTCTAGTCTACACAGCAAGTTCCCGGACAGCCAGAGCTACATAGTGAGACCCTGTCTTGTATGCTCCTTCCCTCACAAAAGACAGAGTGGGTGGCTCCTAAGAAACAACACCCAAGGTTGCCCTCTGGCCTCCATGCTCACCAGCACGCACACAAAATAAAAAGATAACTTTTCAGTTAGTGACATGCCATCACTAAAAAAATTAAGCAGGGCTGGGGATATAGCTCAATAGTAGACCACTTGCCTAGCATGCACAAGGCCCTGGGTTCAGTTCCCAGCAACATAGAAAAAATGGTTAATTAAAAAAAAAAAAAGATTGCAACAAGGGGGGCGGGAGGGGGGAGAACAAGGGAATCTGTGGCTGATATGTAAAATTACATTAAATTATAAAATTTAAAAAAAAAAGATTGCAACAAGTTTGAAGCCAGCCTAGACTACATAGTGAGTTCCAGGGCAGCCTGGGCTACAATGTGAGACCTTGTCTTACCCCTATGGTTTCAAAAACAGCAGAGATTTCATACTATAGCTCTACATACCGAGAGTTTAGCTCTTGAAACTTAAAATTCCTGACTGCGAAAGTTTCCTCCTCTATACCAGAGCATGGTGGTAAGATCTATTTCATCCTAGCTGTGGGAAACCTGGAAATTCAGGACAACGTATTTAAGTATCTGGCACAGCGGCAGTGGTCCATCCTTTTTACTTCCCTACCCCTTTTACAAACAAGCTTTGCCTTTCAATGACCTCAAGTAAAGGAAGTAATAGGGTGTGGTGGGAAATATATGCAACCAGCAAAGCTGAGGTTATTCCAGGCTCAGCCACTGTGTGACCAGGTGGAAGTTACCTATCCTTTCCGAGCCCAGATTTCCCAGCCTCTGATACTCGATATAAGCTTATAGGCACCTAAGAGCACTTGGGTGCTGGCCCCATTGCTAAGGGCTACCGATGAAGGGCCAAGTTGGAAGCCACAGCTAAAACTCTTCGGCCCGAAACCAAATGGGTCATGAGCTGCAAATTAAGCCAACCAGGCCCTGCAAAGTTCAGATGAACATGGGAAATTCCCGCCTAGCATTGCTCAGTTTGTCCGGCCCCAGCCAGTGAAGCGGTTAAAAGAGAAGGCTGTGAGAAGCGGCCCAACCCTCCCAAGAGTGATAACCCAAGAGGAGGAGGCAGGGGGAGGAAGGAATGTACTGATTCACCGCCCCACCCATCCCCTGCCTCTAATCTCTCTTCCGGAATTTTACAGCTCTCTTTCACTGGGGTGAAGTGGAGGGGGCAGGGCTCTGGTTCCAGTCCTCTGCGGAACCCGCTCTCCCCCACCCCCGCCCTGCAGGTCCTCGGGTACAGGAAGCCTGGGGGCCGGGGTGTCAGACGCACACCCGGTGGCGTGCTCGCTGCACCCTCCCCTGCGCGCTTGGGTTTGG